TATATATATTATATTAGATAACACCTACAATCTTTGTCTTATGGTTTCTATTGCTGTTTGAAGAGTCACCATGACCATGGAAATTCTAATAAAGGGAGATATCTGATTGGGGCAGATGTACAGTTTAGAGTTTTAGTCCACTAAAATCATGGTAGAAAACCTAGCAGTGTGCAGGCAGTCATGATGATGATGCTCGAGAAGGAGTGGAGATTTTTTTCATTTTGATCCACTGTCAGCAGACTGACACTGTGCTTCATACTGTTAATAGCTTTAATAGCTTGAGCATAAGAGACTACACAGTGTGCCTCCACAGTGACATACTTCCTCCACCAAGGCCACACCTACTCCAATGAGGACATACCTACTATTACTGACATCCCCTATGTGCTGTACATTGAAACAGATGCATCTATGGAAAACATAACTATTCAAAAAACCACAGTTTTCACACTCATCACTTCAAAATGACCCTATGTGTACAATACTTACAATTCTACTCACCTCATGAAAGAAATCCGTGGCAGACCAAAGAGTGATTGCACCAAAGCATAACCATGAGAATCCATGGGTTTACTCTGCTACTGATAGCAGTATGGATTAGAGGTTACTCAACGAAGCAAGGGTGACGCAACCCTTACTTAAAGCACACCCGAATATGAGTGATTATCATGAAGCCAAAACCCTGGAGCTCAGTGCACAACTTACGGGCAGCCCAATAGGGCATAAACATTAGCACTCAGAGTCCAGGTGGTCCAGTGTCTCACTCTTTCTATAGAGCTGGGAAGGGCCACTGATGACTCTTGAATGTTTCACCTTTCCATGACAGAGAAAGTTTGTTTACTTTCTGAATCTCCTGAACATCTCAGCCTCTTACATTGAACAAGGGCTGTATCAGTTCAGAGAAAAGTGTTATACAAAGGACCCCAAAGAAGAGAAAATTGGAGACTCAGCTCTCAGGGATGAAGGAGCATCATTAAATATTTTCTCTGTGCATCCCTCTGCAGGAAGTCATGACAAGCCTTCACTCTCTGCCTGGCCAAGCCATATTGTTCCTTTGGGACAGCGTGTGGAACTTCGATGTGACACTCATAGTGACTATTACAACTTCAAGTTGTACAAAGACCATGGTAATCATATCCCTCAGAACCAGGGAAGACCATTCCAGAAGAAATTTGTCTTGAATCGTGTGACATCAGAACATGCAGGGACATACAGATGCTATGGTTTGAATTTTCATTACCCTATTAAAATTTCAGAAATAAGTGACCCTGTGAAGATCATAATTTCAGGTTAGAAATGATGTTTTGAGTTCCTTTCATTTCCCCAAATCTCCCAACCCTGTATTTTTCAGAAAAAGTGTTAGTAAGAGGTTTGGACTTATAAAGGAATATTCAACACAGAGAAATATATAATGTTCTGGGCATAATAAGATGTACAAGGTCATGCATTTTTTTCTAGTCCCTAAGGCACCCTGTGTGTTAAATAAGTCAAGGAAAATTGAGCTGGAGGATGGAACACAGATTTTTAACAATTGATATCAGGATGCAAGAATATCCTAAATTATTTCATGTCTGTAGAACTACAAGGGTTGATGTAACAAAGTAAGGAAAAATTCAGTTGTGGGCCAAAGAAATCATGATGAGGGAGACACCCTGTCACTAACTCTAAACATGGATGAAGGGTCCAAGTGCCAAGGAATGCATGAGGCCCTAGAACCTAGAATGTAAAAAATAATGGACAGTTCTAGGGATTTCAGTAGTTACTATCCCTGTAGAAACCTGATTTATGCCATTTGAGCTTTTCAGAATTCTGATCTCCACAATACCTGTATTCTTTTAAGAATGAAATTTGTTGTAATTTGTTATGTTAGCAACTGGAAAATTATATAGGAACTCAAGTCAAGAGCAAATTGAGTCTCAAGAAAGGGATGCTCTGAGTGCAGTAAAAATCAGGATGCTAATTCATCAATGTGTTGGAGGAAAAAATGTTCATGATTCTGGATCAGGAATGCCTTATAGAGGTTTGAACCACAGTGAGCTCTAGAAGTCTTTCCCTCATAACTATGTTCAGTACTAATTCCTTTATCCTGCCAAGGATTATACATAATCAAAAGTTGCATAAAAAGACACATAAAGCAGCCTGGTGTGAAGCTTGCCATGTTTCCTGCATTTTCCAGTCTTAGCAAAAGACAATAGTGCCTATGGAAGTAGGATTCAATAGACACATTCTCATTACAAGCCAGTGGGAAGATATTGTGCTAATCCTAAAATCAATTTAGTGGGAAAAGGAAACAAAGATGGAGGAGGCTGTGTCTAGAGTGGAATTAGACAAAAACAAGTTCACTGGAGTATTGACAGGGAGAACAGACCAATTGAGGGGGAACCACGTGTCTTCAAAGACAGAGATTTTTATCACATTCATACAATTTTTTTATTCTTAGGAGTCTACAGGAAGCCTTTCCTCTTGGCCTTACAACCTTCCCTTGTGAATTTAGGAGAGAAGGTGACACTGGAGTGTCGATCAGAGATTATGTTTGACACCTTCATTTTGACTTCCCATAAAAATGGAACAATCAAAGACTCTTTTGAGCTTTCTGCAGGACATTATCATGGAGGTTCCCAAGCCAACTTCTCAATAGGTCCTGTGACACCTGATGATGCTGGGACATACACATGCTATGGTTCCTTCAATCACTCTCCATATGAGTGGTCTGAATCCAGTGGCCCCATTGACATAAAGATCACAGGTAAGAGCATGTCACCTGCTCATCATTCTCTTTGTGATACAGAAACATATTCTATACACTAAAAACTATGGGATATCACCAGAAAAAAAGGAGTGTAAATAATTTACATAAAGGCAACCTTGTTAATTGTTTTACTGGCATAGACAATGAAAAGAAATACAGAAGAACAGACCCTTGGTTATAACATAAAGCACAGATACAGGGAGGTGCAAAGTAGATATAAACAGAAAATGACAATTAGGTGAGCATAATATGAACCAGAGAGAATGAAGTCTCTCTACTGACATTCAGAAAATTACTGACTTCTACATCTATAAGAATTCTACCAAAAGAGCAAGACAGATCATGTGTCTGACCTGAGTCCAAATACTTAATTGGGCTGGTACTTAATGAGTCTTTGAGCCTTCACACAGGTGGAACCAGGAGGGGCTGAAAATTAGTAAACATGGAATGTGTGCTAAGAGAAAAATCTACAAAAAAAGACAGAAGCCTACATGGAAACTTTGATAGTAGAGATGGAAAAATTATAGTAGATATTAAATATTTCAAGAAAGAGCTTGTCAGACACATGATATGTCTGGCTCTCTTGGAGGAAGACATAAAGGCAGAAGCGAAAAACAAATTCTGAACTAAGTGATTAGGAAGCAGATGGCAAATCACACTTGAGCAGTAAACACACTAAAAGGAACAAGAGAGGAAAGATCACCATGGTCATTGTTCAAGAGAAATATAGAATTTCATGAAGTATTATGTATTTTGAAAAGAGAGATTAATTAACATAGATATGTAAACTGATACAAGAATGAAAAATAGAATGACATTAGATTCTAAATTTTTAATATACATAGGATAGCAAAGTTATAGGTCATGAAATTAGCAAGTGACCAAGGAAGAAAAATTTAATAGAGAGGGATGGGAAAGAAATGAAAGACATATGACATGGAGGATGAATTGAGAGGAGTAAAGATATCAGCAATGCTGTACAAGGGGTGGAAGAGGAAAGAAAATGAACAAAAGGAGCTGAATGAGGATAATATAATGAAGGCTGTTACTTGGTCTGCTAATTAAAACAAAATTATGAGTAACTCTAATTGAACTCACTTACTTGTAAAACAACTGGAAAAAAGTGAAAGTATAGAGAAGACCAATTAGAAAATTGAGTGTGATTAGTGGAAGTTGAGGGGCAAGAAAGAATAATAACATTAATATTGTTAATAGTATTCATCTATAAATATATGTAACAACAATTTTTAAAATTATTAAATGATATAAATACATTAAATGATATACTTCAATTTCAAAAATTAAGAAATATTTTCAAAACAAGCATAAAAATATATTATGCATGCATATGAATATTTCATTATGAAGGTTATTGCTAGATAAAATTAATTATGCTCATAAAAACAAACTTTAAAAGACAGATGGAATGAACCAATGCCAAAATAGGCAGAAAATGTCACTGAGCAAAAATTGGCATAAAATATTTGAGTCCAGAGTGAGGTCATAGACTAAAGATGGTAACATAAAAATAGAGAGAATGAGAGAAAGAGGGGAGAGGAGAAATGGAGACATAGAGAGGAGGTTAGGTAAGAAAAGAGAGAAATAGAAGCAGGCAGAAGGAACACTGAGGAGTGAATGAACACTGGTAACTAACTATCTCTGCCTCTTTTCTCTCAGGTTTATACAAGAAACCTTCTCTGTCAGCCCTGATGGAACCTGTGGTGATGTCAGGAGAAAACATGACCTTGACCTGTTTCTCTGACCTTCAGTTTGACATGTTCCATCTGTCCATGGAAGGGGTACCCAAGGACCATGGGCTACCTTCAGTGAAGAGCCACAATGGAACATTCCAGGACAGCTTCCATCTTGGTTCTGTGGTCCAGGCAGGGAACTATAGATGCTATGGCTCTTTCAGGAACTCTTCCCATCTGTGGTCAACCCCAAGTGACCCCTTGTACATTCTTGTCACAGGTAAGAGAACTTCATATATACCTCATATCTTGTGACTGATGAAATACTGAAGCCATGTCTCAGAATCCTCCAATAGATGATAGAGAGAAAGTAGCATTGGGAGCTACAAAGGACTGTTGTGAGTCCTAATGTCACGTGTGTGGGATTAAACGTATATTTGTGTGTGTTACATTTATATATGTGTATACATATTTGATGTGTATATATGTACATGTATACATATATACATATATATATGACATGTGTACATATATGTGTGAATATGCATAGCTTTAGCCATCATATATGTAACAATAATTGTCAATGAAAAAGAGGCTATAGATTTAAGAGAGGTGTGAGGATATGAGAAAGCTTGGCAAAAGGGTTTCTGGGAGGGACTGGAGAGAGGAAAGGGATGGGAAAGGGAAAGAATTATATTTCAACTGAAAACCTTTTGTAAAAAACAAAAAAACATGGAATTTGGGACTTGAAAACAGAATACAAAGTAATAGACAGGGAGTCTCCCCAAAACTCCTTATATGACTTTGCATCCACACTGGGATATCTATATAGAGAGGCAGATATATAAATTGGTCTGGCCATTACAGATGACTCATTAGGGATGAGGTTCATATCAGTTTGGGCAGAGCAGAGATGGAGCAGCCCTCCTGACCTCTTGCTCACATATATCTTCCCACAGCATTTCTATGAATCATCAAATCTTGAAATCAGATGAGAGAGTCAACACCTAGAAGCAAACCACTAAATATCATTCTATAACTCTACAGGCTCAGGACTAAGAGGTGGAGTGGGTGGTGGTCATTGTCCAAATTTAAAAAACTTTCCTTAAGGGGAAGGCAGACAGCCTCTGATGAACTTTCTCCCTCTTCTGTCCCCTTCTTTAGTTAACTCAACAAGAAACTGCACTTCTTGCACAGAAGCATACTTCACAACCAGTGAGTAATTGATTCCTCTTCTCTATTGTGAAAACTTAGAGACCCAAAGCTCTTTGGATTATTTTGTCTCAGCTCCTTCCTTACTCTGTCTTATCATCATCATCTCCCCTCTCTGATTCTTGAACTCTTCAACATTAGAAGTTGTTTAGGAG